CCCCCCTACTATATATCTCTAGGTGTTCCTGAATACAGTTGACAAGTAAAGCTGCTGCACAGATTAAACTAACCAGCACTAGAAATAGTAAATGCCAATAGAGATAATCTTCATTTAAAAATTATTCAAATAAGCCGAAATTTGTATCACAGGAGTTTTGTCACAAATTTGGATTTTTGTAATCACTATATCTCGTAGACCTTTGATATTTCAATTTTGTTAGATCAAATAATCTAAGTTTAAAATTGCAAAGGTTCCCATTTTAAAGTTGCAAAATTATTTGGATTAGATGATTTAAGTTTGCGGTAAGAACTTTTTTTTTGCATCTTTAATGGATTAAATTGATAACATTATTACATATAGTCCGTATAGTCCATATTACATCACCAGAACTTAGCTCAGTTTTCGGAATTTTTTTTTAAAGCATAAATCTGTATAATTTATTGATAAAATCATGATATATTAATGAAATGTGTTTTTCATTTCTTTTGAATTACCTAATCTTTGCAGACAGCTTGGAAGTTTTTGGTCAATAACAAACATATCACAGGATAATCGGTTCAGTATTCTACCTAAACATATTACAGGATATATAGTTCAGTATTCTACCTAAACATATTACAGGATATATAGTTCAGTATTCTACCTAAACATATTACGAGATATATAGTTCAGTATTCTACCTAAACATATTACAGGATATATAGTTCAGTATTCTACCTAAACATATTACAGGATATATAGTTCAGTATTCTACCTAAACATATTACAGGATATATTATAAAGTATATTCTACCTAAACCTATTTTAGGATCGGTTTAGTATTCTACCTAAACATATCAATGGATAACATTATTTGCAGTACATGGAACTAAACTGCCAGTTTTAGTTAATTAACAATATTATGTTTTAATTAACTAAAGTAAACTGGGAATAAACTGCCGAAAGTGTTGCAAAGCTCTACATTAATTTGACATGAGGTCATCAGGGGGACTTTTAATTCAAGAAAACTTTACTTTAAATTGACATGAGGCCACTAGAGGGAGTTTTAATCCTAGAAAACTCATTTGCTCATGCCAGGAAAATGAGATATTACATTCTAATTTAAAGGAATTGAGTCTATGCCACAAACTCTGATTTTCTAATCCCTAATCTATGCAACCCAATGTCAAAGACCTTAGATATTATAAACTATGATTTTGGTTATATCAAATAGTCTAAGTTTGATTTATCAAGGGTTTACACAATCAGGTTGCAAAAATAATATGATTAGAAACTTTAATTTGTGGCAAAGACTTATATTCCTTTACAGATTTTTACTTTAATGCATGAATACTTTTTCTGGGTTAGGTCTAAAGACTGAGCACTAGCAAAACTGTTATAGAGCGCCGCAATCAGTGATTTGACCTATTGGATATTTAAATATATTTAGTTTGTTGTAAATATTCTATCTATTGGATATTTAAATATATTTAGATTAAGTAAATATCCTACCTATTGGATATTTACATATATTTAGTTTGTTGTAAATATCCCACCTATTCGATATTTAAATAAATTTAGTTTGTTGTAAATATCCTACCTATTCGATATTTAAATATATTTAGTTTGTTGTAAATATCCTACCTATTGGATATTTAAATATATTTAGTTTGTTGTAAATATCCTACCTATTCGATATTTAAATATATTTAGTTTGTTGGTAATATCCTACCTATTGGATATTTAAATATATTTAGTTTGTTGTAAATATCTCACCTATTGGAAAAGCATCAAACAAATCAATAGAGCAGTTAAACAGATTATTTATCATTCGTTCATGAAGATTCTTTCTTGCACCGGCACCTCAAAAAAAAATCATTATTTGAATGTTCAAAAATGTTAATAATGTAAAAAATGTTATAAAAACGTTCACCTATCCATTGTCCAAGTAGGTTTGAGCAGTATGTAAGTAAAATTACTATGAATGAAAGTCCTCCATATATTCTGAATGTGTAGAGAGCAGATTCAAATGAAATATTTTCCACAACAGCATCCCTAAATATTTTGTGTTAAAGGGACTGTACACGTTATTTCTGGTGGCCCTGTATATTTTATATGTTCGATTAATAACAGTAAAATTTTAGACCTTTGTCTGACCCAAGATGATGGAGAAATCCTGAATTAACTCGAGCAAAAATAGTTTTCAACCGTGTGGAAACTGGAGTGTACACTAGAGCACAGTATGAAGTCGGACTCTAATAACGCGTAGTTTAAATATTCGAATGCTTAATCTCGATCTTTGTTTAATTTAATCTTTATTCGAAATCACATAACCCGTGAACAGCCAATGAGGAGCCAGAAAAAAGTACTCAATGTGAATATCAAAATAAATTGATCGGGGCTATGGATCGGGGCTATGGATCGTGGCTATGGATCGGGGCTATGGATCGGGGCTATGGATCGGGGCTATGGATCGGGGCTATGGATCGGGGCTATGGGTTTCCAACACAAAAGTTCCCAGCTCTGGAACATACAAACTACATACAAAGTACATACAAAAGAACATAAAACAGTACATACAAACTACATACAAAGTACATACAAAAGAACGTACAAAACTACATACAAACTACATACAAAGTACATACAAAAGAACATACAAAAGTACATACAAACTACATACAAAGTACATACAAAAGAACGTACAAAACTACATACAAACTACATACAAAGTACATACAAAAGAACATACAAAACTACATACAAACTACATACAAAGTACATACAAAAGAACATACAAAGTACATACAAACTACATATAAAGTACATACAAAAGAGCATACAAAAGTACATACAAACTACATACAAAGTACATACAAAAGAACATACAAAAGTACATACAAACTACATACAAAACTACATACAAAGTACATATACAAGTGCATTTAAAAGCTAAAAATAAATACAAGCGTTTCTGCGCCAAACAATCGCGATCAAACAAAGATTAAAAGGGTACTTTTTTGAATCAAACATGTCAACATAAAAATGATGGCTCGCCAGTAATTATGCTTTAAAAGGAATGTATGTGCAACTCAGGGAGTAAGGAATAGAAGGGAGAAACAACTGACGCGGTTCGCCCTACCATATGATTATCCATGCTTTGCAGACGGTACTCCATTTTATATCGAGCTGTTTGATTTTTTAGTAGGGACCCACAGGAAAAATATGTATTGGCTCAATTTTCTTTCACCAGTTTCGCCAATACATATTTTTCCTGTAGTGCCCTACTAAAGAAACCAAACAGCTCGATATAAAATTTTATGCATATATAATCATATGGTAGGGCGAACCGCGTCAGTTGTCTCTCCCTTCTATTCCTTACTCCCTGGTGCAACTTCACGTTCCCGTGTGTATATATCTCAAAACTTCCGTAAAACCGAAGTGTTCTCTAGCGTACACTGTGAACCATGATTCAGATGACGTTTCTTGTGTCCCTCCGTCCCAAGCGTTTTAAAGTTTTTTATTTTGTAGATTTATGAGAATAAGTCCGACATCCTTGACCAGTCAAAAGTTTAAAGTGTATTGTTGTGAATCTGACACTGTTACAAATTGAGGGTCATTTGAAATTGCGTCTACAGTTCCTTTAAATCAATATCATCATCATCATCATATCAGTCAATTATATCAAAATAAAGCGGGAAATTTTAATTTTATTTTCGTAAAGCACTCTCTTCCACAAAGCAAAAAATATTAATTGTTATTTAATAAAAACACGAATAAAGTAAACTATTGAAAACGAAAATATAAATCAAGGTAAAACCATTGAATAGAAGTGCACTGAACTTCTGAAAAATTTACAGATCCCCATAGATACGATGAACTTTGTTAATGAATTTGTCGTCTTCCATCAACAATCAATAAATACCGAGAAAGTACAGAGTAGAGAATTGCACGCAGTATCATTGCGCAAGCTTCATTTTCATAGTGGCGTCCATTATCATCATCATTTAAATAAATACAACCACCCACCCTCCTCACATTCTCTATGTCTATCATTCAGAGGCCGGTCATCCCAACTGACCGGCCCCAGATGCCCGCTAGAGGTCCAGCTCACTTTACAAGCAAGTAGTAGCTTTGACTCAAGGTGAAGGTCAAAAAGGTTGACCGTACCAGCCAGACCTGAAGACCAGCACGGTGGGCCAGTCAATCCAGTTCGACCAGCGATCTTTGAAAGTAGGATACTTTCAGGCGGGCTGACAAGGCAGTTACAGCTTGCTGGTCAGTATAGATTTCAGGAGGACCTTACAGGTTTGCAGAGTAGGATTACCCTTCTTAGTTAGCCAGAGTTGTCACATACATCCTTATGAGAAGGGAGGACATAGTACCAGAGCTTTTTACATCAGTAAGACGACAAAAAAGTAGGGCTTTTTCATCAAAACTAGTTTTTTTTTGCAAAAGAAATATCAAGGCTCTTAACAAAAGTATTAATATGAATTTTCAAGGATTGTCCAATTTCTTTAAAAAAATTTTAAATTCCAATTCAGTCTCTTCGATCTGAACCAACACAACTGAAAGCTTTTCAATTTTACTAAAAGATGTTTTACTGATAAATTTAAATAAACAAGATTGGTTTAATCAAATTCTAAAATGAAAATTTCAAAATCTTTTTCTAAAATTATTAAAATTGTTTCTGGAACACGAAGTTTACACTTTGCTATATAATTTCTATATTAATAATATTAATTAAAATTTGTTTTTCTTATACAGATTGTGTTTAATAATATACAAGCTAGGGATGATAATTATAGAAAATTTATTGAATTGGTGGCCGAATTTAAAGAATTTTATCGGCGGTTTAAATTTAAGCCGCGGCTTAAATATGGTTTGTTCCACTTAAAATTGTGTCAAATGTTTCAAGATTTAAGCCGGTGCTTAATTTAAACCGGGTTTTGGCAGATTTAAACCGCGGCTCAAATTCTTTAAATTCCATCTCAGGTCCGGAAGGTTGAACCACTAATTGCTATCAACAACACTAGATAGGAGGTTAAACTAGGTAAATTAACTATAAGGTAGATATAGTTGAACACTTCTCTTAAGTCTTTAAATTCCAACTACTGACTTGAATTCTACCTGAGAAGATAGTCTAGATAAACCTTTACACTGTGAAGTAGAATGCTCAGAACAACAAAAAATCCTTCAAAAATATATTGTGAGTTAAAATGCCAAATAATTGCCGAAAAAGTTTCCTTCTTTGTGCAAATTATTACAGTTTGATTAAGATTGATTTTAAATTTAAAGTATGCATTTCACAAAGTGTGATTCCAAGGGACTCCAAGTAAAGAGTGCAGTGCGCGATACATAACGGTACCCTTGACCCTTGAAACCTTTCATTGTTCATCGAGAAAAGGGATCCTTTCGTTGAAATCTCTAGAAAACCACTTGAATTTCTGTTTCCAAAATTTCGAAAAAAAAAATAATTTTCTTCTGCCAAATCTAGAAAGTGAGTATTAACATTTTTAAAACTTAAAACATCTTACAAAAAAAGTGTTCAACAATTAAAAGCATTTTCTCCGATTAATGAGAACAAGTTCGACAACCTTGATCAGTCAAAGGTTTCAGGGTACACCGTTGTTAATTAGGTATTGCTATCTTTGTATGGAGAGTCACTTGACATTACTCCTACAGTGATTATTTTAATTAAATCTAATTAATTTTAGTTTGCTTGAATCTGAAACATATTTGATTCTTTTTAATATTTATTTTTATAATTATTTCAAGAGGTTGATAACATCATAAATATTCCGACCTAGAAGATTAAGACCACCAGCTCTCAGGTATCCCCAGTACACGGAAAAGGATATAGAACCGTACTCTCTATATTCAGGCCTAGATCATTGTATTTAATATTCATGTGTCCGAATTTATTGAATTTGAGCCGTGTCTTAAAACCGCCAAAAACCGGTTTCAATTTAGTGCCGGCTTAAATCTTGAAACAATAAATACGATTTTAAGTGGAACCAACCATGGTTTAAATTTAAACCGCGGCTCAAATTCTTTAAATTCAGCCTCTGTATACCTGAGTCTAAAACTAAACAAGAATGCGCGAGTTTAAAATAATAATATAGCTTTAATTTAAAAAAGACAAATTCAGGGTTAAATTAAATTTAATCCCAGATTCATATATTACACCATTAAAGTGCAGGTTATATGAATACGCAAACGCCGCTACATTGTTAAGAGAATCATGATAGACTGATAGAAAAAGTTTCAAAGACTGTGGGGATTTTCTGGGTTAAGATACTTAGTTTTCGATTTCGATGAGAAGCTATAGTTTAAGGTTTAGTTCAAGTCAAGAGGGGCATTTAAACTAAAAATTTTCGTTCTTTAGATATGGACTTTGTTCAAGGATTGGTTTTATATCTCATATCAATAATCAATATGCTTAAAATAAAGTCATAATAATGCTAAAGATCCAGCCAGGACCATAAAGTGGTCAGACGGGACAATAAAATAAATTAATCTTCAGAGGTATAAAACTATTGAACATATTAGAACTACAATCATAACCAGAAAGACCCGGAATTAATTGAGAATTGATAGGACGACAATAAATGAGACACTAGGCGTTACTTTAAACTATTATTATTATAAAGATGTATTCACACACAAATAATCTAATGCATCACACACAAAGATGTAAAATGTTCTAATGCAGCACACACAAAAATTTAAAATAATCTAATGCATCACACACAAAGATGTAAAATAATCTAATGCAGCACATGCAAAAATTTAAAATAATTAATGCATCACACACAAAGATGTAAAATGTTCTAATGTATCACACACAAAGATGTAAAATAATCTAATGCATCACACACAAAGATGTAAATGGAAAGAAATCTAATTAATACATAACTAGAAAGAAAATTGGAAATCTAATGCAAAATTTGCAAAAAAAAAACTTAATGTAAACTATCTATCAACATTTATCCACCGTATCTGTCGCAATCTAATGATGTAATAAGATAAGGATACCGACTTATATTATGATTAATTATAAATTTTAATAAATTTTAAAGATTATCTTACCTGCCCTCAGCATTCATCATTCTACTTTCATCGTTGTCATCATCCTCAAAAAAGTAGAAGACAAAATAAAAACAAATTTTTATTTTTATCTCAATGTTTTTCTGAATTGTTAAAAATTATATGTATAACATATGTGTAATATTTAAGCTTGGTGGTAAGGAATTTTATGCATATTTATATGAAATTTTTGTTTATATATATATATATATATATATATATATATATATATATATTTGAAGCAATATGGAATTTTGGAAAACATTTATATGAAATTTTAGCTTGGGTTTTAGGAATTTCATCTTTGAAATACTAAATTGGTACTTAGCAATTATATATATGTAGATGGGTTGCGAGGATATATGTTACTTTAAGAGAACCGAAACCTGAAAATCGTCACTGAACCCTGAAACTGCTGAGACCCCTGAAGCTGTGGATGTTAATCTCTTCACCTAGAAATTAATAACATCTTAATGTAGAAAAAAAGTCTTTGAGTTAAGCGAAATAGAAAATAATAATTATACTTTCTTTAAGTGGAAGAATATAAATATATTCATATTTGAATTTTAAAATATTCTAGATTTTTTGGAATAAATGTGACGTCATCCGCGTTGAATTCACACAGCAGGCTAGCGTACACTCCAATTTTACGGCTTTTTAAGCAGCATTTAATGGAAATATACAATATAATGAGATCTTTTATCCTTAATGATCAATCAAAGCTTTAAAAGGTTAAATAGAGGAGTCAATTAGTATTCATAACTCAGGTTATTCTCGGCTAAATAAAAAGTTAAGTCACCACTTTTTATTCAAAAAGAAGAAGGCACTGTAAATTCGCTACTTACTTGAATCTTTATCTTTATCTTTCAAACCTTGCCTATTTCATACTAATTATTCTTTTAGCTCAAATATTCAAAGTTTATAGTATCATAGGTTTACATCATCAAGTTACAAAGATATAGAAATTATAAAATTATAATTTGTTGCGACAGTTTTCTTTCCTCTAAGCTGTCTTGTTTCAAATCCCTTATTTATGGAGTACCGGCTGCATAGTGTCTGGTAAAATCCCTTATTAATGGGATAACGGCTGCGTGGTGTCTGGTAAAATCCCTTATTTATGGGATACCGGCTGCATAGTGTCTGGTAAAATCCCTTATTTATGGGATACCGGCTGCATAATGTCTGGTAAAATCCCTTATTCATGGGATACCGGTTGAAGTCTGGTAAAATCTCTTCTTTATGAGATACCGGCAGCATGGTTTCTGATAAAATCCCTTATTTATGGGATACCGGCTGTATGGTGTCTGGTAAAATCCCTTATTTATGGGATAACGGCTGCATGGTGTCTGGTAAAATCCCTTATTTATGGGATACCGGCTGCATAATGTCTGGTAAAATCCCAAATTTATTGGATACCAGTTGGTGTCTGGTAAAATCCCTTATTTATGGGATACCGGCTTCATGGCGTCTGGTAAAATCCCTTATTTATGGGATACCGGCTTCATGGTGTCTGGTAAAATCCCTTATTTATGGAATACCGGCTGCATAGTGTCTGGTAAAATGTGTTTTAACAAAATTATTTTCAAATTCCAGAAATTTCTCTTGAAATTGAATCAAATTCTTGGACGTTGAGATTATATTTAAACAAAGCAAAGGGTGCTTTACTAAGATATATTATAGAATATTCAGGTTTTGCATGTTTATCACGAACCTAGTTTGTTTCGCTAGTTGTAAACCCATTTGACATAACGTCGACCTTGTTTTAGGATATGATTTCAGGTTTTAAAAACTAGATAAAAATAAAGATTACTATCTGTGGAATTTTAGAAACACTTTAACAAAATTTTTTGGAATTAAAAAAAAAGTAATTTGAATTTTTAGAAAATTTCAGCCAATTTGGTTCAGCCGTTTGGCAAGCCATAGCTAACATGTATATGCATATATAATTAATAAATATGGAAAAGTGCTTTATTGTTATATATATTAATATATATATTTATATGAGCCAAGAGGTTTATTAAATAGAGAAAAGTCTTGAATCAAAAGTTGAATGAAAGGAAAGTCTGAAAGGAAAAGTTGAATGTAAGGAAAGTCTGAAAGGAAAAGTTGAATGTAAGGAAAGTCTGAAAGGAAAAGTTGAATGAAAGGAAAGTCTGAAAGGAAAAGTAAAACAAAGGTTTCAAGAAAATAGAAAATATAATAAAAAGTTTGAAAGAAAGGTTTAATCTAGGGGAAAATATTGGGGAAAATAAAGGATAAGTCAAGAAAGGAGGAAAAGCCGAATGGGAGAATTGTAAGAAAATGGTATAATAGAATGATAAAAGAACGTTTTCAAACCTTGCTATGCATTGTTGAGAATATACTATCCCTAGAAGGAGTGAACGCCAGGGATCTAAATATATATTTATTATAAAATACTCCTGAACTGATTTGTATTTTAATGAACATCTGAGTTTTCTTATATTTCAAAAACTGGAGGATTTATAAATGTATCGAAACAAAGAGCTGGGATTAAATATTTCCACCACACCAGAAACTTTTCTATTCTTTTTTTAAAGGGACCGTTTACTTATTTGGGTAATTTCAGGGTAAACTAAACAGCCTATTCGCTGATGATTGGTATTAGTCTTGCTTTTTAAAGACAACTGTGGCCGGAGAAAAGGCCGATTTTTCCTTCAGGGTTACCCAGAATTAGGATGAGACCATAAGGACGACCCGAAACTCTAACAAAGGAATTGAGTCTTTGTAACAAACTCTGATTTTCTAATACCTATATTTTTTCCATCTGATGGTGTAAACCTTTGATATTTCAAAGTTAGATTTTTTCATCTAACAGAATTCATAGTTTGAAATATCAAAGGTCTAATATTATTTTTTATTATTTTAAGCATATCTATTATCTAGAGTGTGTACTGTGTATCCTTAAACCGATTTTAAAAAAGACTATTTTTCCCTTTAACTTAGGTTGTTATAAATAGTATTAATATTTTATGTTTTAAAATACACGGTGTCCCACGAAACTTGACAATAGAAATACGACTTAAAAGTTAACACAGATCTTTGAAAGTATTGCAACATTAGTAAGTCAACCTACTTTTACATGTAAATAATCTTTAAACAATATTTTAAAAAAAAATTTCCTAGTCCAGGCATTACAGAAAGGCGAATTAGTGGATCTGCCATTTTTATGCTGTCAATATTTAAGGAGACATTCTTCAGATTTTAATTTATTGATTTAAACCAAAGTTGTCAAAATCTAATCAAAACTCTTCAAATCTCCGGTAGTAAACCCAAGTTAAGTAAGTTTTAAAGTAAAAAATTTGAACAGACCAATAATTCTATTCAAGTCCTATACACATTATGGGGGGGGGGTCTCAGGGACCACTGAACCCCCCCCCCTTTCTGTAAGAACAAGGGTTATTCCTGAAAACTGATCTGTTCATTAGATTATATCGACTTGAGTTTACGTTTGAAGGATTTAAGATTTTATTTATTTTATTAGTTTTGCTCTATTAAATTAATAGTGTCAGATACATTCCAATAATTTTTATTTCTCTAAGTAAGTTTTCTAAAGTATTTCTAAAATCATCTGAAAATATAACAATATTAAATATGATGAAATTGTATGATGACAAAGGAATTGAGTCTTTGGAACAAAATCAAATATTTAAACCTCAATATCTTTAGTACTCGATGTTGTAAACCTTTGATATTTCAAACTCAGATTATTTGATCTAACAGAATTCATAGTTTGAAATATCTAAGGTCTGCAACATTTGGTTCCTAAGATATAGTGATTAGAAAATTAGAAATTGTGGCAAAGACTCAATTCCTTTATCATCATAATTTGCATGCAGATATATTTGGGCAATGGAATGATTGAACATTTTTTTTGGATACATTTGATTATTTTAGAAACTATTGAAAGAATTTAAAGATCAATAGATATCCCGATATATACGGCATACGCGTTAGTTTTTTTTTACAATTTTCCAGTTTAATTATATAAAGTTTAGGCTCAAACAAAAAATTTCAAATATTTCTTTTATACTCAATACATTATTCAAAATTTAAAAAACAGATGGTTTAAGAAAAGAAAAGCTAAAAAATAAAATTAGTTTATCCAATTCTGATTACCTTGAAACTTGTTTAGCTCCAGGTGGTTCAGAGAATACAGTTTTAATAGCCTACAAATTAGATAAATGATCGCCCAAAAGGTTTTAATATTGATATCTCATAGTTTCGTGAAGATGCTTAATCTGAATTTCGAAATAAAGTCAGTGCATGAAAGTGAGGCACCTGAGCCTCACTTTAGGTTTAGAAAATAGTAAATATATTGTATAGGTTCGGAAACTTGGTTTTGTAAAAAGTTTCAATATTGGGTTATACAGGATTAATTTTTTTAAAAAGATTTAATATTTTGTAATATATAAATCTTACATGAAGTCAAAACTTCATGTTATTTAAGGTTTCAAAAAATATATTTTTTTACCTTCTTTGCTTGGATTCAAATTCAATGTTCTTCTCTCCTCGGATATTATCTCCATCTACCAGACTAATCACAGTAAAAAGATTAATTATCTTTTTAAAAACTTGGTCAACTGTGGAAATTATATTTTCACCCACTTTAACAACAAAGGAATTGACTCTTTGCCACAAACTCTGTTTTTCTAAACCCTATATCTTTGGAACCAAATGTTGCAGACCTTAGATATTTCAAACTATGCATTCTGTTAGATCAAATAATCAGAGTTTGAAATATCAAAGGTTTACAACATTGAGTTCTAAAGATATTGAGGTTTAAATATTTGATTTTGTTCCAAAGACTCAATTCCTTTAAAGAGAATCTATTTCAGGAATTAAGCTAAACAAAATTTTTACCTTTAATAATTTATTTTATTAAAATTTCAAGATATTTAAGTATTTATATAATATCAGATGGAAACATTTTGAGATTTCTATATTTCTTGTTTTTCATTTTTTTTTCTTGTTGGTCCATCCTTCAATCATACTTTGGCTAATTTTGAAAATAAAAATTAAACTATTTTTTTGGATGTCCTTGTTTGCCATGTTACAAATAGGGTTTCAAGCGAAAGAAACGTTTCGCGAAAAAATGCTAAAATTTTCGGTCGCATTTCGCAAACTTTTTCATGAAATTTTGCGAAAATGGGAAATACAAAAATGTTTTTGCGAAATGCAAAAATTTTGCAAAATGTCTGATGTCTCCTAGTCGTTCTTAAATCTATACTTATATTTTGTATTAATTCATCAATTGGGCTCACGGAAAATGAGTCTTGTATTCTCGAAATTTAGTTTTTTTTGATGAATTTTCTCAACTTTTTTGCTAAAGTTTTGCATTTGTTTCTAATAATTCTACATTTTCTTTTTTTGCAAAATTTTCATTTTTCTTCATAATTTTAGAGTGGGGGGGGGGTGAACGTCTCCTTCCCTTCCTTAATGTTGTCTACATTTGTTGTCGGAAAATATGACAGTGTACAACTTGACATTAGAGATTCCCTTCCAGTTTTTCCTTTTCCTGATTGATTTTCTTTTTTCTTCATGTTCATTGTTTCTATGCTTTGAGACCTCTCCAAATAGTTCTTGTGACATCGAGTTTTAGAGAAAGTAGGAGTAAGATTAGGAAGTTTGTAGCAGGAAGGGTATAGGGATTGCTCCCTGTGTTCCTTCTATTATACTTTTCCGAGTTAAGAGGAATTTAAGGAAAATCCATAACTGCACCCTTTATGCAAAATGGGGAGTTGTAAGCCTTAAAGCCCCATTGATAGGAATCTTCCACAGCAGTCCAGTCCTCACAGCTGGTTGAGTAAAAAACCGTAACGTTGTATATGGCTTGTATACCAATCAGGGGTTACACTCCTTCTTTCAGCTGCACCAGGCTGAAGGTGAAGTCTTGTTTTAATCTATGTACATTTCATACTCCCCTACAGGATAAACACAGAACTTTCCTAAACTGTAATTCTGGGACCGCATAAGATAGGTCCGCTCTCTTCAGAGAAAGTCAGTCAATTAGTTAAACAAATTTAAACTGTCTTCTTTGAGAATTTTTCATAAAGTAGAATTTTAGATCAAACAGTGATTTAGCTAACTTTAGCCTAAAAAACTAGGAGTTTCAAAAGAAGAGAGAGTTGGATCTACATATTTTAACAGTACATGATTGCGGTAACATAAATTCTAAAAAAATCTTTAGAATCTGATCAATCACCTCAACTTTTCTCTAATCCCTATGCAAACTTGTGGTTTAAACCTTATTTATTTTAAACTTTGACTTTTTGATCTGGCATAATTTAAAGTAGTTTGAAATATTAAAGATAAAGAAAATTAGAGTTTGAAGAGAGTGAATTTTTTGCAAAATACAGGAATAATTATTTTCACAGTAAAACCAGAGACATAGTTTAATGAATAGCGAGAACTTATTGAACTACAGTACGAAGACTAAGTTGAATCCCTTTTTCAGCTTTAACCAGCATAGAGGCGCACAAAAGACTTAATTTTAATACACTTTTACGTGGTTCAACCACTTCCGCTCTGAAATTTATCAAAAATTAGAGAAATATCTTAAAGTTTGGTGTTAAATTAATTTTGTTTTTATTTTTTAGAATTATAATCAATTGTGTATGTTTGGGTTAAAATTGAATTTAAAAAGCATATTAAAAACATGTTGTCATGAAAAAAGGTAGTTAAAAAAATGTTAATGATTATAAAACTAACCTTTGAGATTCCAGATCACCAGTTGACTCAGTCTTCTCCCGTCCTGCACAAATATGAATATATATAAATAATAATTCTATTAAGAGAAGAACAGACCAAAAATAATCCTAATAGTAACTAGCACTATATTTAGAGCAGAAAGACTAGACTTTAGGTTAAAAGAGACTGATGTTGTAATGTCGAGGGACCGTTAACTAAATAGCCAATAAGCTATTTATTATTCTTTCTTTTCAAAACCAACTTTAAAAATTTCCTTAAAAATCATGATTAAACCATTCCAAACCACAATATGCACAAACAAATGCATCAAATGTCTGTGTCAAGCATGCACTAGAGTGTAAAATAGTAAAGTATTTTATTAATTAAAGTTCACACGAAGAAAACGTGCTTTTAGCATCTATGAATCTATAAATGCACTTAATTCCAGGAGACAAAAAAGTAAACATTTATATATAGAAATATTGTTTAATGTTGTTAAATATTGTTTAATGTTGTTAAATAATGTTTAATGTTGTTAGATATTGTTTAATGTTGTTAAATATTGTTTAATGTTGTTAAAAATTGTTTAATGTTGTTAAAAATTGTTTAATGTTGTTAAATATTGTTTAATGTTGTTAAATATTGTTAAATGTTGTTAAATATTGTTTGATGTTGTTAAAAATTGTTTAATATTGTTAAATATTGCTTAATGTTGTTAAATATTGTTTAATGCTGTAAAATATTGCTTAATGTTGTTAAATATTGTTTACTGCTCTTAAATATGGTTTAATTTTGTTAAATATTGTTTAATGTTGTTAAATATTGTTTAATGTTGTTAAATATTGTTAAATGTTGCTAAATATTGTTTAATGCTGTCAAATATTGTTGTTGGTAATTATTTTTTAATGTTGTTAATTTTGTTTACTGTTGTTAAATGTTGTTTAATGTTGTTAAATGTTGTTAAATGTTGTTAAATTTTGTTTACTATTGTTAAATGTTGTTTAATGTTGTCAAATTTTGTTTACTGTTGCTAAATATTGTTTAATGCAGTTGTTTACCTTTGGAAAACCTTTTAAAAAGAACTTTCATATGATGGTTACTCAGGATACCTTCGCCAGGAACTAAGCATATTTCTTCAATAATTTTATTAAACGTTTTATAATCTAAACTTTATTAAATGATCTGAGCTGAAAACTATAGAATTGTGGATATCAAGTTTATTGCTGGATCTCATCTTTTTATTAATCTCAAGATTAATTCAATCTGCAGTTTGTATCTAGAAACCTGGATAAAATTCAACTAATCAACTTAGAGTACTTTTAGAGGTCGGAAAAAAGTAGGGACATCCTAACAGAGAGTAAAGGAGAAGAAAAAGCAGAAATCAAAAGTGTCTACAATGGATATTCGGATGAAGCGGTTAGGATTAAATAACTCCAATTCTAAAGTTTTCAGTTCTGAACATTCGCAAAAAACCCTAATTTTCTAATATCCCTCTATTTTCGCAACCTGATGATAAAAATCTTTGATATTTTAAAATTACTCCATTTGATTTAGAATAGCTGCAAAAATGTAAACTTTAGAAATTAGATTTTGTGACAAGCATTGAACTTATTTACCTAGACTTTCTCCCTGGACCTCATCTGATACAAGGAGCATATCATGATGAATATTTAACTAAACATAAACATATCATGATGAATATTCAACTAAACATAAACATAAACATGAAAAGTGACCAGTGACACAAGCTGAGACAAGAAATATATTTGCACCTAGTTTAACAACATTTCTTTCCTTCATAAATTTGTAACTCTGGACCATCACGAACCACTAATTAATTGAACTAAGAAATGAAGAATCAAAATATATTTAACCTGAGCTGATGTTTCCTTCTTCGCAATGATAAACAAATTATTTTTCTGAATAGCTGAGGGAAACATATCCTAGAAATATTGATATTTAGTTTATTTTCTAAAGAGGGAAATATATCCTGGAAATATCGATATTTAGTTTATATTTTACAGAGGGAAACATATCCTAGAAATATTGATATTTAGTTTATATTCTACAGAGGGAAATTAGTTTATATTCTACAGAGGGAAACATATCCTAGAAATATTGATATTTAGTTTATATTCTACAGAGGGAAACATATCCAAGAAATATTGATATTTAGTTTATATTCTACAGAGGGAAACATATCCTAGAAATATTGATATTTAGTTTATATTCTACAGAGGGAAACATTTCCAAGAAATATTGATATTTAGTTTATATTCTACAAAGAGAAACATATTCTAGAAATATTGATATTTAGTTTATATCCTACAGTGGTAAAACAGAAGCATAAGAGTCTTGTAATTATTCTTTGTAATATTTTGCATTTGTATTGTATTAAAAGGATTAAAGACGTAATAAAATCCATTCTATCATTTTTGAAAATTGACTGTTTTCATTTTAGGCTTTTCTATAAAGGTACCTTTCAGATTTTTGCTTCAGCAAAAATTGAGAAAAGATTAACAACGATATCTGACAGATTTATATCTGGTTTAAAGGTTATTATAGTGAATCAGGTATATACCCACGACGGCCCATTTACCTGGACACTTTGTTTATGTTTGATTGCTTTATGTTTCTTCAGCTGAACTCTCTTCATTACTATTCCACACTTTGTAATATTTGCCAACAGCTTCCATCTTTCTACAGCTGTTTTACTTTCATCTCCTAGAGAAACAAACTAATATTTGCCAACAGCTGCCATCTTTCTTCAGCTGTTTTACTTTCATCTCCTAGAGAAACAAACTAATATGTGCCAACAGCTTCCATCTTTCTACAGCTGTTTTACTTTCAACTCCTAGAGAAACAAACTAATATTTGCCAACAGCTTCCATCTTTCTACAGCTGTTTTACTTTCATCTCCTAGAGAAACAAACTAATATTTCCCAATAGCTTCCATCTTTCTACAGCTGTTTTACTTTCATCTCCTAGAGAAACAAACTAATATTTCCCAATAGCTTCCATCTTTCTACAGCTGTTTTACTTTCATCTCCTAGAGAAACAAACTAATATTTGCCAACAGCTTCCATGTTTCTCCAGCTGTTTTACTTTCCTCTCCTAGAGAAACAAACTAATATTTCCAACAGCTTCCATGTTTCTCCAGCTGTTTTACTTTCACTGCTCAATAGCTGTTATTCACGTTTATTTGACTATTTAAACCATAAACTAAGTCTTCCTATTCCAGAGGTTTATTAGTTCTATTGTAATTTGAGATTAATACTTTCATCTATGGATGCATAAAAGGAATGAAACTAGTATGTTTTTACCTTCAGTTCTTGTTTTCCTTCTAACTCTGAGATGAGGATTCTCCTGGATAACAGTTTGATAGGAACCATGAGAGACAACCCGTCCCTCTCTGTACAATAACCACTTGTACTTTGAAAGGTTTAATTCTATTGTTATTATCTATGTGTATCATTTTACGTGATGCACTATATTTGCCTACATGGAGTTTTAATTCATATTTTAAATTTCAATTTGTTTGGAGAGTTTTCACATAATTTAAAACGAGTTCCATTTTTTAAAGAAACTTCATCGCTGCATATCAATATAACGTTTAAATAAAATATGAAAACGTGGGTCATATTGAAATTGATTCATGTTATGGACAATGGACATTGAACATGCATAGCACGGATATATTTTGAGATTCTGAACACATTTAATTCAACTTCTGCATACCATCACTAAATTCAGAATTAAAAAAACTTGAATTTAAACCTCAAAAAAAGTAAAAAGCCAGACAAAAAAACTAGACAGTTACGAAAAATAGATATTTCGTTATCTGAAATCGTATTAATATATCTTTTTACGTATTCTATGTTGATAAAAGTATATATTGTTAATATTGTATACATTGGTATCCCTGAGAATGATAATCTTGTCTGCATGTGGGAGAAGGGTTAAATCATCTGTTGTCATGATAACAGTTCGTTTTTTCTTCAGAAGTATATTCTGAATCCCTTCTCGAAATAAATACTTACCCATCTTGGTGTCCAACGCACTGATGTAACAGAAAAATATAAGGTTAGAAGTTTTTTTACATTCTGATATTAAAAGGAATTAAGTCTTTGCCACAAACTCAGATTTGCTAACCCTTTATGTTAGGTATAATAGTCTAAGCTTGAAATAATTAAGGGATCGGACATAAGGTTGCAAAGATATAGGGTTTGTGAGTTTGTGAAAAATACTCAATTCCTTTATTTTGATTAAATGATAAAGTTGAACCCTAAAGATCTCTGTTATGAAGTAAAGGTAATGTCTAAAGATCCCTGTTAGAAAGTGAAATTGAACCCTAAAGATTATTGCTATCAATTAAAGTTGGATCCTATAAAGATCTCTGTTATTAAGTAAAGTTAAACGCTAACTATCTCTGTTGTGAAGTAAAGTTAATGCCCAAAGATCTCTGTTATGAAGTGAAATCGAACCCTAAAGATTATTGCTATCAAGTAAAGTTGGATCCTATAAAGATCTCTGTTATTAAGTAAAGTTAAATGCTTAAGGTCTCTGTTATTAAGTAAAGTTAAACGCTAAAGATCTCTGTATTAAGTAAAGTTAAACGCTAAAGATCTCTGTTATTAAGTAAAATTAACCGCTAAAAATCTCTAAAGTAAGCTTGAACCTGAAAGGTGAATCGAGTAGTATACAGGGTGCAGTAGAATATAAACATCTTGCTATACATAATCTCTGCCTCTGTCCTCCAGATAGTAGAACACCTCGCTCTCCAACCTTACCAACATCATCTTTAGGAATGAAATCTTGATTCAAATCATAATTTCATAATTCATATATCTTTGCCACCTAATGGTGAAAACACTTTATTTTTCAAACTTTTTATTTGGCTAAATCAAATAGTGGAAGTTTGAAATATAAGAATAACAAAATTAGAGTTTGAAGTAAGTTCTCAGTTTCCTTTCCATTATGTGAGCTTTAATGTATGTAGTATGTAGTATGTAGTAAGTAGTAAGTAGTAAGTAGTAAGTAGTATGTACTATGTAGTGTAATATAGTATGTACTATGTAATATGTAATATGAAATATTTAATATGTAATATGTAATATGTAATATATGCAATATGCAATATGTAATATGTAATATGTAATATGTAATATGTAATATGTAATATGTAGTAAGTAGTAAGTAGTATGTACTATGTAGTGTAATATAGTATGTACTATGTAATATGTAATATGAAATATTTAATATGTAATATGTAATATGTAATATATGCAATATGCAATATGTAATATGTAATATGTAATATGTAATATGTAATATGTAATATGTAATATATAATATGTAATATGTAAATGTAATATGTAAAATGTAATATGTATATATGTAATATGTAATTTGTAATATGTAATATTTAATATCTAATACCTCAGTAAATATTCCATCTGGAAGCATATCAACGTCTGCTTGAAAATCGCAGGCCTGAAAATATAAATTTCTGTATTTGTAATTCTCTGAAACTCCCGGCACGGCTTTACACTCATTCTTATATTTTACATATTTACAGGATTTATGTAAAGAACATATTTGTATTATTTACCTCAATACATTTTCTCAATCTTTTCTCCTTCTTAGGTCGACCAAATAATAAATTCTCCTGAAATTACAGTTTAATTATATTAAGATATGTATTGCTGAATCCACAGACGATTTTAAAGATAATTTAAATATATAGTCCTGAATTGTCAGAACTTATTTTGTAATACGCTTGCCCAGCTAACTTTAATTTAGGGTATGCATAAACCCTTAAATTTAGGGATCATACAAAACCCATAAATTTAGGGATCATACATAAACCCTTAAATTTAGGGATCATTTATAAACCCTAAAATTTAGGGATCATACATAAGCCCTTAAATTTAGGGATCATGAATAAACCCTTAAATTTAGGGATCATGCATAAACCCTTAAATTTAGGGATCATACGTAAACCCTTAAATTTAGGGATCATGCATAAACCCTTAAATTTAGGGATCATACATAAACCCTTAAATTTAGGGATCATGCATAAACCCTTGAATTAAATAGTGCCCAAATTGAATATAGAGATCAAGTGTTCAAGATACTCAACACACAAATCCTTACCTTTGTAAACATTTAAACCATACTTACCAGTATAGTGGTGTTCATTAACCAAGGATACTGTGGAAGATGGGTAAACCATACCTACCATTATAGTGGTGTTCATTAACCAAGGATACTGTGGAAGATGGGTAAACCATACTTACCAATATAGTGCTGTTCATTAACCAAGGATACTGTGGAAGATGGGTAAACCATACCTACCAATATAATGGTGTTCATAAACCAAGGATACTGTGGAAGATGGGTAAACCATACTTACCAGTATAGAGGTGTTCATTCACCAAGGATACTGTGGAAGATGGGTAAACCATACCTACCAGTATAGTGGTGTTCATTAATCAAGGATTCTGTGGAAGATGGGTAAACCATATTTACCAATATAGTGGTGTTCATTAACCAAGGATACTGTGGAAGATAGGCAAATTTTGAAAATGTTTCTTCACTATCATGTTCTCCACGTCCTGCTTGCAGTACTGTTTCTCTCAGAATACAACCCAACAAAGAACTCTGAGATTAAATTTTTCACTTACAAAAAAGAAATTTTTTTTCTTCAATATATTGTAAAACAATAATTTAAAATCAAATAATACTTTCCTTTCCCGAACCTGATGGACCAACAATCATTGTCAGCTTTCCTCTCTCAATTCCAACATCTTAAAGTTGTTAAGTTCATGAAGTATATAAAAGTATATAAGATCAAAACTAGGTCTGAATAAATTACTCTTATAGATTATGGTACAGTGGTCCTTTGAATGGTCACTGTTATTGTAGTACTTCTAAACGGTTATTTACCGTCTGAGAAACTTTATAAACAAAACGGAAAATCTACGAAAATATCTTATGTTATTGTGTTATGATGAACTAGAATATGGGAACCCAGATTTGCCTGGAAACTAAACCTTTGCCTCTAAAGGCAAAAGCAGCTTAGATTATTTAAACAGACATACAAAAAAAATCCACTAATATGTATAATTTACATGAAACCTAGATTATGAAGTACACTAGGCCCCTGACTGGTCCAAGAATAGCTTGCATTAGTCCACTCCACTAAGAAGGGTCTGAAAAATGAAAGTATTGTCTGCTTTAATTAAAACACTTTTTTAATAATCACTACTTTACTTGAAGGTTTCTTAATCATCACTAATTTACTAATTTATGTTCACCTGGTTATTTTGCTGTTTAGATGTCCAGGAACTTTTTGATCTGTCTAAAAAGTTAATAAAAAAGTGAGAAAAAAACTTTTACTAACTATAATTTTACTTCCCCCCCCCCTTGTTTTACCTTTCTTTCCTGGTTCATCTGGTTCTCTCGGTTCTCCAGATTCTCCTGGTCCTCCTTGTTCTCCAGGATTTCCTGGTTCTCCAGGATTTCTTGGTTCTCTTGGATTCCCTGGTTCTCCTGGTTCTCCTGGTTCTCCTGGTTTTCCTGGTTCTCCTGCTCCTCTAATGTACGGTCAACTTCTAGCTGCTGGTTGATATCAATAGGTAGAGAGGTTTCTGTGCACTCAGGGTACTTCAAGAACTCAACCAAACGATTCCTTAAATTCAAAATAAAATTATTTAAAACTTTCATTCATTATTTACATTCTAATGATAATATGTGGCAGTAGAAAAATGCAATGCTCAACATTTTACGACTTATTCTTATTTACAAACCCGTTTTAAATTTGACATTTTAAGAATTCTTTGGGTTGTTTTTAGGCTGTATGTTGAATCCTATGTTCCGTGAGATTCAAAACCCCTAGAATAGGAAGACGACTTTTAAATTCAAGTTGAATTGTCCGACAATTATAAGACACAGAAATTGTACTGTGTGAGAGACCCATTTAACTTAATTAGTAATTTAAAACTATTTGCTTCAAAGCAATAGATGTAATGTCGGCTTCTACTAATTCAACAGTTTTCTAGTTCTCACTATGCTACAACTAGCTATGGGTAATAGCAACTTGATATTAGGAAGGTTCTTTTTTCTATCCTATTTAAGCTTTTCGGAATTTTTAAAAGCATTACAAATATCTTTGAAGGTTCCAATATGTATCTTTTCTGTAAAAGTTTTCTTTCAAGAAAATAAGCAACATATTTCCCCTTTTTTTAATGATCGTTTGTGGTTTGTAATTGGTTCGTTTTTTGCATATACAGAGTTACCCCACAAAGGATGAGACTTCAGAGACGAGTTTACGGAATTTGTTTATTACCTTTGCTTACATCTAGGGCAAACCATGCATTAAAATACTAAACTGAAGGCAGAAACCAAAAGTCAAGCTTTAAATGTCATGTTAAAAGCGTTTTGGGTCGTTTTAGCAGTCTCATCATGATCCTTTGTGGGTAACCCTGTATCTGCCCTTATGGTTAAAATGTAAGACAGAAATTTTGTCCGAAAATCTTAAAATTTTTGAAAAATAAATCTTGCTAAATTGCTCATCAGTAACTACAACCAATATCCACCTACCTACTAACAAGTCCTTTAATAAAAATAGGAATTGTAACAGGAAATACAGATAAGCAGACAGCAAGCTGATTGAATAGAGATACAGCTGTAAACAGATCTGCTGCACTCAATACTTTAGTCTCTGAAATATAAACGGTTATGGATAAATATCAGGGGTCAATATAATTCCCAAAAAAGCTGATTTTCTCGATCCCAAAATAATTTTTTGCCCCCAATTTTTAAAAAAAATGCCCCCAATTTTAAAAAAAAATGCCCCCAGTTAAAATTTTTTTTTCACCCCCCCCCCCTCCCCCTAATCCCTGTAAAGCGAATTGAACTTTGTTTAATTATTCAAAATGGAAAAATATTCTCAAAATTTTAAAGGAATAGAATAAAACAACAACAACAACAACAACAACCCCCACTTTGTGACCTCCCTCCTCCAGAGTACCTGTATTTGTGTATTCCCCAGGTACCTGTATTTGAGTATTCCCCAGGTACCTGTATTTTTGTATTCCCCAGGTACTTGTATTTGTGTATTCCCAGGTACCTGTATTTGTGTATATAAATATTGTTATAGATGTGACGAGTAGAGTAGCAGTGCTGGCGAGGAACGCCATAATTGACCAATAGAAGGAATCTTTCTTTAGATACACCAACTCCTAAATAATGTGCATTATGAAACTAAATATACACCAACTCCTAAATAATGTGCATTATGAAACTAAATACACACCAACTCCTAAATAATGTGCATTATGAAACTAAATACACACCAACTCCTAAATAATGTGCACACCAACTCCTAAATAATGTGCATTATGAAACTAAATATACACCAACTCCTAAATAATGTGCATTATAAAGTAATCACTAAAAAGTTGACATTCCCCTTAAACTTTTTTGATTTTTATATAAAAGAAAATTATTTTAAAAAATTACCTTTTCACGTTCTTTAGCAATTTTTTTTTCAAAAAGAGTCTCTAGACAGCAAAGCTTTATTGTCTGAAAGTAAGAAGTTTGTTAAGAAAGATCCTTTGTAATTATTGATGAAAAGCTAGTTCAAAGGGAGCAATTCGGTAACCTAAAAGTCAGGAAGTTTTGTGAAAAATCGGCATAAGAGCTGCCTGTGACCGAATTTAACGAATTTGAGTGAGGTCGTTGAACTACTATTGCCGATTGAAATACAAATATGTAGTGAAGTTTACATTTGTTAGACATGGAAAAATCCTGAATTACCAACTCAAGAAACGTGGTTGAACCGTCTCTAGACTTGGATAAAATTCATTTTGTCAAGGTTTTCAATGGTAAATTTCTAATTAAAATAAAAACAAAGTCAACATACTTTCAAAACTCTAATTATTTTAAATTTTGCGTACCTCGTATAAACAAACGCGTAAATGTTTTGTGTCAGCTGGAATAAGTGAATATTTCACTAAAAACCAACTTAATATAATCGGATGTGAAGTAGTATTTTTTTACTTAAGTTAAAAATTTAGCTAAAAAACATGTTGTTTTTCAATAATTATTTTTTTTGTGGTTCTATAAATCAAAGAGTAAAAAGGAAAATTTATAGAATTAACTCAATTTTAATATTTCTAGTTTTGTATTATTTAACTCGCATGTTTCTTTAAAACTCTAGGTTTTACATCTTGTATAAAACATGAAATACCAAAACTTCTCATGATTCAACTAACCTTCATATTTTGAAGAACTTCAGCAGATAATTTTAATCTAAAATCAAGAGAAACTTTTGGCAAAAATTTTCCAAATTATTTTTTTTGTATCTTTTAAACAATTGGTAAATACTAAATATAATACAAGTTAAAAATTATTTTAAAATTTGTTTTTCTTTTACATAATGCTGTACACAATAATATTAGAAGAATAGAAGCACAGAATGGTGTATTTTCACATTAAAAAGATAGTACGAGAGATATTTTTAAATTGACCTTTTATCTTCAGCCTCCATAATCTTTCTGTTATTCCTGGCCATTGTCTGAAGTTACAGAATTAAATATTTAACATTCTTGAAAAAAATATGAAACTCAACTTATGAAAAAATACAATTTCAAAGGAAAACAATTTTTTAAAATGATTTTTTAAGAATAGATTTCATGAACAAAAATAAACTTCCGAGAGGAAGAATTACGACAAGAGAAACTTTTAAAAATCAAAAAGTATTTAAAAAAAACACGCATTACGAACAAATCTAACAAGGTAAATCAAAAGAAATATTATTGATTTCAATTAACGAAAGAATTTTTTAAGATATTTTAAAAAACAATATTAAAAAAGAACTATAAATAGAATCAATTAAACAATATCTAAAATTAAACAATATCTAGAATTAAGTAAACAAGATTTAAGTTAAAAAAAAATAAAAGTTAACAACATTTAGAAATACCAATATTTAGAAGCCAAAAACCAGGGGTATTTTGCCAAGCGGCAACATCCCAGGGATATTTTGCCAAGCGGCAACATCCCAGGGTTATTTTGCCAGGTGACAACTTCTCCAAAGTGCAATTTTCCTAGCGGCAAGCTCCCAAGCCTGTTCTAGCCACAGCATTTGGCCCCCTACCCTGTTCTAGCCACGGGGCTCAGCACCCTAGCCCATAATAACAACAGCGCTCGGCTCCAATTGTAGCCTATGGCACCTTAGCAGGCATAACTTATAACGTTAGGAAGTTGCCTATAGTGAAGTTGTCACAATGCAAGTCGCCCTTGGGGAAAAAAATGAGACCTAGAAATCCACCAAGTTCATTCTAGATTTTTGACAATCATTTCTTAAAAATTAAAGCTAATGTCTTAAAATAGCATAAATGAGTTCTTAATGTAAAATAAAAGACCAAGACATTGCGACACTTTAAAGTCTTAAAAATTGATGCACTTTTCATGCAGTCTAGATCAATGTGGGGGAAATCTTTGTTGACAAATAGATTTTTTGGTCAGAATAAAACCAGTTCCGGAGCTGTCATGGTAAAAAGAAAAGAAAACAAAATGTAAACAAACTACTGAATATAAATTACCTGAAGTAAACTAGAACAATAACAATGGATACTCTTAAGGGAATCGACCAGATATGATGTAAGTTCCAGATTAGATCTCTAAATAAAAAAATCTAACACATTTTTAATAAAAAAGCCATTCTTATTATAAAATTTTTTTAATTATTTTTGAATTTTGAAAACACTAAGAAATTCTTCAGATGTTGATGAATGATTAATGATGAATTTTTCAACAAAATTTGACAAATAATGCTACTAAATTGAGTTTGGCTCCGTTGCTCTAAGTTTAGATAAAAATTGGCATTTCTTACAGGGGGATTTTATTTCTAGGAAGAATGAATTGAATAAAGTTCTTTTTATCCCACGAACTGCAGATTATATAATTCTAAACCCCTGAATATATACCTGATATTAAGAGAATCCTCATAAATAATGTTTAGAATCAGTCCTAGCTCAAGGTTGCTGGAGCTAAACATTTTGGAAAATACATTATTTTATATTTTTGTCAAATTTGATCTGAATTATTATATTTTGTTTTCTAGTTATTTACCTAATTTCATCCTTATTCTTGTCATTAGAGTCGTTTTCAGTTCTGGAGTTCTAAACAATTTGCTCACAATTTTCTAGGTTTTTTTTAAAGAACCTAGCTGATGATAATATTTTTTTTTATAGAACCTAGCTTATGATCATAGCTTTTTATAGAACCTAGCTAATGATCATAGTTTTTTTTTCATAAAACCTAGCTGATGATCATAGTTTTTTTATAGAACCTAGCTGATGATCATAGTTTTTTTTCATAAAACCTAGCTGATGATCATAGTTTTTTTTATAGAACCTAGCTGCTGATCATAGTTTTTTTTTATAGAACCTAGCTGATGATCATAGTTTTTTTTATAAAACCTAGCTGATGATCATAGTTTTTTATAAAACCTAGCTGATGATCATAGTTTTTTTTTATAGAACCTAGCTGATGATCATAGTTTTTTTTTATAGAACCTAGCTGATGATCATAGTTTTTTTTATGGCACCTAGCTGATGATCATAGGTTTTTATAGAACCTAGCTGATGATCATAGTTTTTTTTATAGAACCTAGCTTATGATCATAGCTTTTTTTATAGAACCTAGCTGATGATCATAGTTTTTTTATAGAACCTAGCTGATGAGCATAGCTTTTTTATAGAACCTAGCTGATGATCATAGTTTTTATAGAAGCTAGCTGATGATCATTGTTTTTTTAAAGAATCTAGCTGATGATCATAGTTTTTTTTATGGAACCTAGCTGACGATCATAGTTTTTTTTATAGAACCTAGTTAATGATCATAGTTTTTTAAAGAACCTTGCTGATGATCATAGTTACTTTTATAGAACCTCTGATGATCATAGTTTTTTATAGAACCTAGCTCATGATCATAGTTTTTATAGAACCTAGCTGATGATCATTGTTTTTTTATAGAATCTAGCTGATGATCGTAGTTTTTTTTATAGAACCTCTGATGATCATAGTTACTTTTATAGAACCTCTGATGATCATAGTTTTTTATAGAACCTAGCTCATGATCATAGTTTTTTATAGAACCTAGCTGATGATCGTAGTTTTTTTTCTTAGCTTCTCAATTATAAAGACAAAAATAAAAAAAAACAGAACATGAAAGTTTCACTTGCATAATCTGTTTCAATTTCAAGACAAAACATATTAATTATTCACATACAATATGATATTACATTTCCAGTTTTGAGATACAAATTTTGAGGAAATGGAGAATATTTAATTTGGGGTTGTAATTTTAAATAATATGCAACAAATGACTACTACTTACAAAAACAAAAGATAAAAGAAGACATCATTTTTTTATTTTCTAGTAATTTTTTAACTTTAATGATATTCTCGACTACCTTAATATGTTTCTGGTCTAATATTGATGTGGTTTTATTCTCCCTGCCAACTGAGAGATGAAGAGCTTTTTGGTAAAGGCAAACCTAAAGTATATTTCTATATAAAATTGTTATCTCTGTTTGCCTGTTTATTTGTATGCCCGATCGTAACTCAAAACCCCTGGACCGATTTGCCTCAAATGCTGATCTGTGGAACTCGGTTTTACGAGAATGTTCTAAGCTTAGTTTAAAAGTTCTAGGTTGAGTAGGTTGATTTTTACAGATAAAAACTTCCAGAAAAAGCTTTGACTCCCCAATCCCTCAGATAGTTTGATGTAATACACAAGGTTGGGGACCATGTTTTCCGGAAAAACTTAAAGGTAATTCAAGTCAAAACGGAAGACGAAATACTTAGCTTGAAATGTTTTAACCACAAAATATATAATGTATGGAGTGCATGGTAACTCCAATAACGTGTAAAACGGCCATTTTGTTGTACTGTCACTGTACTGCAGGCGTACATTTGCACTAATCTGTAGTTTTAACCAAATTCAAAGCCCCGTGGTGCTCACGAGTTTCCCAATTAAAAATTTGACACAAATCGGTCGAGAGTTCTAGTGTTCAGACATACAAACACCCTAACAGAGATTACTACTTTATACATAGAGAAGAGTGTACACTGTACAGTGTACAGTGTACAGCAAGAAAAACAAAATGGACATATTTACCAAAATCACTTATATAGTTGGACGATAGTGTAAAAAACGATGGTAAAAATCATGAATAATGCGACAAAATTTTAAAAATTAATTTTATGAAAAGGAGTTAAAATGAAAAGTATAATCAAAGGTAAAAGTGCTAGTATTGGCTAGGGCTGCTGGGGACGTTCCAACCTTTTCTAGCCGTTTCGTTAATGGTTAGTTCCAACTGTTAAAAAATAAGCATTTCAGTTAGTCGTTAATTTGGAAGGCAAGAACAGAAGGTTCGTTCCGTTAACGGCATTTTCTGTATTTTTTATTAGCATTAGTTAACAATCTCAATTTTATTAATGGTGTTAACAGAAAATGTTTAACAATTGTTAAGGGCTCTAGCCGTTAATGGTATCGTTATTACAAAATTTGTTAAGGGCACAGCCGTTAACGGTATAATACAGTATCAACGGCGTTAACGGCGAAAAAAATCGTTAACGGTTTATAAACACAGAAAATGACTTTTAATAACATCAAAACGCGTTAATTTTTTAATTTAGAAAAAAAATATCATGCAATTTTTATCAGAAAATAACAAAATTTACCGTTTTTATCTTTTTGATTAACGTTTTTAACTGGCAATTTTTTTTGCAAAAATGGCTAATCCTTTTCGGTAACTTTTTAAAGATAAACGGTTTTTGCCTTTCGTTAACGGTTAACGGATTCTTTTCCGAAAACTTCCGTTTCGTTAATGGAACTTTGGCCAGCCCTAGTACTGGCCTAATTTTTTTCAACATTTTTGGATATTATTAAGTTTTAGGAGAATTATCAGTTTTGTGAAACATTTTTACGTTCAGCTTTCCATTTCTTTATTTAAAATATTTTTTGTTGAATCATTTCTTGAATAAAAATAAATGATGTCAGTGAAATTTTTACTTACTGTGGCATTTTTTCATCTTATATAAAAAAGGGAATTTCATTGAAGGAAGAAAGAGTTTGAAATGTATGAAATAAAAAATATTAAAGTATATTTGAAATATAGGAAAAAAAATATTTCTTTTCATATATTTGACTCCATCCAGAGTCTCACAATTTTAGTTAACTTTCTAGTCTAGCTGTAAACAGGCATCTCCTTGGTCTCACTTAATCCTCACTCCCCTCCCCTTAGATGCAGTAATCAACAACCACAACCCCCTTTAGATACAATAAACACAACCCCTTTACCCCTAAATAACCCTATTTACCTGAAGAGAATTCCTAAACCTGATTCCAGCAACAGAAAGAAGATGACTAGACAACTAAACAAAAAGAAGATGACTAGATAACTAAACAGAAAGGAGATGACTGGATAACTAAACAGAAAGAAGATGACTAGATAACTAAATAGAAAGAAGATGACTGGATAACTAAAAAGAAAGAAGATGACTGGATAATTAAACAGAAAGAAGATGACTGGATAACTAAGCAGAAAGAAGATGACTGGCTAACTAAACAGAAAGGAGATGACTAGATAACTAGACAGAAAGAAGATGACTGGATAATTAAACAGAAAGAAGATGACTGGATAACTAAAAAGAATTAAAGAAGATGACTATATAACTAAAAAGAAAGAAGATGACTGGATAATTAAACAGAAAGAAGATGACTGGATAACTAAGCAGAAAGAAGATGACTGGATAACTATGCAGAAAGAAGATGACTGGATAACTAAACAGAAAGGAGATGACTAGATAACTAGACAGAAAGAAGATGACTGGATAACTAAACAGAAAGAAGATGACTGGATAACTAAAAAGAATTAAAGAAGATGACTAGATAACTAAATAGAAAGAAGATGACTAGAAAACTAAATAGAAAGAAGATGACTGGATAAGTAAAAGAATTAAAGAAGATGACTGGATAACTAAACAGAAAGAAGATGACTGGATAAGTAAAAAGAATTAAAGAAGATGACTGGATAACTAAACAGAAAGAAAATGACTGGTTAACTAAAAAGAATTAAAGAAGATGACTGGATAACTAAACAGAAAGAAGATGACTGGCTAACTAAAAAGAATTAAAGAAGATGACTAGATAAATAAACAGAAAGGAGATGACTAGATAACTGAACAAAAAGAAGATGACTAGATAAATAAACAGAAAGAATATGACTGGATAACTAAACAGAATTAAAGAAGATGACTAGATAAATAAACAGAAAGAAGATGACTAGATAACTAAACAGAAAGAAGATGACTAGATAACTATACAGAAAGAAGATGACTAAATAACTAAACAGAAAGAAGATGACTAGATAACTAAACAGAAAGAAGATGACTAGATAACTATACAGAAAGAAGATGACTAGATAGCTAAACAGAAAGAAGATTACTAGATAACTAAAGAAAGATGTCTTTGTTATCAATTTAACAATATGCATAAAACTAATTCGATTTCAAAATAACCAAAGTTTGGAATATTTTTATTTTCTTTAATCCATTCGGAAAGATTGATCCCTGGCGATTGACCAGATCTTACAAGATTTTGTGCAAAAATAAAAGTGTGTCTACACAAACGTTCACACCTTATATTTTAATGTCACATTGTCAATATAATTTCAAGTGAACATTCATCTAGAGAGTTTGCAGCAAGAAAACAAAGACATTTTTAAAAATCTATTTCATTTCAAGAAAGAAGGACGACGGTATCTTCCTCATTTTTACTCAGATATAGATGTTACTTCGTTCAGTCCTATTAATAAGTATGCTATTGTGTAAGTAGATCATTAAGTTACCTGTGAAAAAGATCCTTGTCCTATGCTGGCAATGAAGATGAAAATTGATGTGATAACGATATTAGAGAACAGCTCGTCAAAGGTTAAACTGTCGTGAAGAACTTTGGAATCCTGAAAACATTTATTTAGAGTTGAAATCTGTTCTCAAAGGAATTAAGCCTTTGCTTACTTAACTTTTCTAATCATTGTATCTTTGCATCTTGATGGTGTAAACCTTAGATATTTTTAGCTTAGACTTTTGATCTAACAGAATTCACATAGGGTGTCCCACGAAACATGACAGTAGCAAGATCTCTGAGTTTATTTGTGACATTCAGTCCAGAACCTTTTTTCACAAGAATGATTCTTGAAATAATTACCGCAAAATTGTTCTAGACCTGTCATTTACAAATTGTAGTCTGCTGTATTTTTAGCTGTCAATATTACCGGAGATTAACAATTTCGTTTAAATTTCAATTTTACAATCTAAAACCAAAACTGTCGAAATCTGAATGAAAATCTAAATATCTATGGTAATATGGAAAGCATAAAAAAGGTAGACTACATTTTTGAAATGCTAAAATTAGGGGTATTTTGTCATAATTAACTATAGAATTTTACTTCTAAAATTAGGTTTCCGAATAAATTTCCGTCAAATTTTTTAAAGATCAGAAGGTAAAAACTTATTTCATTTGGTAGAGTGAGACTCATAAAACTACGAATTAGGAAGATGACTGTTATGCCTCAAATTATGATTATAATTAGTCCAATAAACAATAAACATATAAAACTATAATTGTAATATTAATGTGATTTTTAAAGCTACAGGTAAAATTGTTTACTTTATAACAACATCAAATATAGACAAGATCTGATCTGATCTGAAAAAAGTGTCAGGAATAAAACTTGCCAGGTTTAGGACACATACAAGTTGTTTAGGAAAGATACATGAAAGATACATGAAAGATACATTTGTAGAATTTCTGAGCATTTATACAGTTTAACCCCAAATCAGCCATACATTGAAAGAATTCATCAAATGTCGTATTCTTCACTTTCTGATAATGTAATGTTGCAGATATTTAGTTTTTTCATTCAATGATTATATGTTCCCGCATATTCATTGCTATATATTTATTTTCGCAAATACTGAGATTTACGTAAAATAGTACTATAAAACCCATTGAAAAATTTTCAAGACGACATTTGATAAATTCTTTCGATGTATGGCTCATTTAGGGGTTAACTGTAAAATTTTATACAAAACTTAATTTTTTTAATTTTCTTATTTGTAGTTTATTTACATCCAACATTATTCTTGTATAATTACACGGACAAAATGAAAACTGATGTCTATATTCACATAAACCCTCAAGAGAATACTTTCTCAATCTTGTTAATTAGTTCTATAGAATACAGGGTATTATCAGGAAACAAGGAACTGTAAATTTAAATAAAAACTTTGGGTTTAGAAATTTATTTTTCTTTAACTTTGAGAGAATTGTATAAAAATATTTTAATTCGACTCAAGGCAAGCAAAGTAATATTTTATCCCGGCAAACTCGGATGAATTTCAAGGATTTTTATATATTTTCTAAAATAGATTAAACATTTATGTGTTCTGTTAAATACATCATTTGTGAATTTGAAATAAAATACAAGGTCAAAACTGCATAAAGAGATGGTACACATTTTATTCTCAATGTTTTTGTCTTTAAGTTGTGATCCTAAACTTGAAAATTAGGGTATTTGCAATCTGAGAGTAAATGATACATTCCTTTGTAAAATATTTATATATTTACTAGCTGAAGGACCCGGCGTTGCCCGTGGAAAAAAAGTTTTAAAAATGTTGAACCTTTTTTTTTAATAAATGTCGACTTGTTTAGCCTATAACACCCCCCGGCCATTCATGAGTGTCCACAAAAAATTTCAGCCCAATCGGTCCAGCCATTAGGCTGCAGCATAGGCAACATATATTTATACGAATGTCTTGTTTTATTATATAGATGTATTTAGTCTGAAACCGATTAAAAGGGGCAGGATTAAATGAAAATTGTTGCATACTAAAAAAAACAGCTTTTTATAAAAGAATGGGAATTCCCTTTCAGCAAAGATAACCAAAAATTGTAGAAAGGGTGTGATCAGTATTTACCTCCTTTATCCCAGTTCTGTTCTCTTGATGCTGCTGAACAGAAAACCCATCCTGGAAAAAGAAATTAAAAAGTTAAAAATAAAAAAGTGCAGGTTAGAGGTAGTAAATAAAGAAAGGTAAAATTCTGTGTTAAAAATCTTGATCCGATTGGTTCTTTTTTACTTTACAATTTTCCAGGGGCGGATACAGGATTTAAGGGAGGGAGGGGGGGGGGGCAAGATTTTTTAGGAACAAAAAAATTCATAATTCGGAACAAAAAATCGCGCTGCAGGCGGAAATTTCTTTTTTACTTAAAAGACTCAAAAAGAGTCAAAATTAATGACTAAAGACTAAAAAACTAGATTCTAAACTTTTCACACATTATAGTTTATTAAGACAGATATTTTTCCTGTTTTGCACTAGGGTTTCTTTCCCTTAAGCATGCTATTGAGAAGCTATTCTGAAAATAGGAACAAAAAATTCCAAATTCAGGAGGGGGCTACGCCCTTCCCTGAATCTGTCAGGGGGTGGCGAATGTCCCCCGCCAACCCCCCCCCTGTATCCGTCTCTGCAATTTTCAACCATTTATCAACAATTTATGGTTGATGACGTTGCTTTCTGAAATTAAATAATATTGATGTTTTCTATAATTGGACAAAGTCAAGATTTTTGAAAGAACCCCCCATCTATGGGGTATGAAGGGGGGTCAGCAATATTGAGTTTACAAAATAAACCTTTTATTTAAGTTTAGGCTCGGACAAGCAATTTGTTTTAAAGAGAAGTTTCTTTGTCGCAGAAATGTTGATTTTTAAGTTCCAAAATTCAACAGAAAACTAGTCATTTCCGTGAAAATATTGCGGGTGTACAGGATCCATTCAAGGATAAATATATGAATATATATTACAATGTTGTAAATGAAAAGGTGTTCATAATTTATTCATTTTGTCCATTCTCAACATTTAAAACACAAGAAAACTGCATTTTAAGAGGAATATTGTAACAAAAACAATTCACTCCCCTCTGACCCCATAACATTCCCCCCCCCCCCCCGTTTACATGCAAAGTAGTAATTGCCTTAAAATTTCGATAGCGTTTTCATGACCAATATCGGTTAAGACATTATTTAAAATTGATTCGTTGCTCAGTAATTTGGTTGCAGGTGTTCCAGGTATGTTAAAAAATTTCAGGAATTTAGGACGGTTGCCATTGGGAATCTGGCATGGCCCTCTTTGAGTAAAAGATAACTTTAAATTACCATTACAGTCTTTTTATGAGGGTCTATAAGTTTTAAAAATGGACCTGTATTGATGATACTATGATTTGTAAACCAAGAGCTCCAGAGAATCCTAGAACATCTGCCAACAGTCTTAAAAATGTTTATTATAAAAAAATCCTTATTAAAAGCGAAAAATGAAAAATGTGATGTTTCAGTTTATAATCAAAATGACTGTTCATGTTTAAATGATATAAATCTATGGATAACATTTTGCTGATCTGATAAAAAAACAGGATGAAAATTATTCCAATTAAAACAATGTTTGGTGTGATTATTTGATAATTAATTCTGTAAAATCATTAATCAATTATTATCCTTATCTTAATCTTCAATCAAGAAATATTTATATTTCTTCAAACAAGAAATTGCCGATGAAATTTTAAATAACAAATTAGGATAATATCAGAAAACTTTCGTTTAGAAAAAAAACTTATGATTCTATTCTTCTTGAATTTATAAATATAAATAAGAAATTATATGTCCTGTTTTTAATACCACATTGATAACCAGAAAACTCTGGAATAGGAAGACGACTTTTAAACTTAAACTATGACGTTAAATAGTCCAATGAGCACGAGTCCAGTGTAAACAGACCCATTTCACTTGATTTGTGATTTGATAAGTGTCTAGTAAAACTATTTGCTTTATAACAACATTGGTATTAAGTCGTCTTCCTCTTTTGGAGTTTTTTGGTTATGACTGTACAATTGTTAAAAAATTATAGAAATCCTTTAACCTGAGAAGTGCTCCAAACATAACTAGTCCAAGATTTGTCCTAAAATATTGATATTTTAACAATTTATGTATTATTTTACAAACTTAATAAATAGAATTTTTTTAATATTCTTTAAAACAAAATAACCGTAAAAAATATACGTTTGAGCCCAGCGAAAAGGGAACTGAGACCGAATTCAAAGAATACGAACCATGCCAATAACCGGTTCAAATTGAGCGCCGGCTCAAATCTCGAAACACGCGGTTCAAATTCTTACAAATTCTGCCTCTGATTAGTGTTTATTTGCTTCAAACTCAAGTTTTATAGCCCCTATGGATTTATGGATTAAATTAAGGGTTAAATACAGCGTTTTTTGTTGAAGATTTAGTGTTTTTGAAAATTTAAGCATGGTGTTGTATGGATCCCAATAAAATTCCGATGAATTTTTTTTAAAAAGTAATGAAAACTTTTAGTTAATGGAAAGGTAATGATAACAAATTTTATGAAGATTTTGCACATATATTTCCATTTAATTCACAAACACTCCCTTTAAATGTCCTTTAAAAATGAATTTGGTTTTTCGATAACTATTAAAATGGAGTATGTAATTATAATAACAAACTGTATTAATACCTTGTAATTGTAAGAATTTCATTAAAATAAAATAAAAAGTATCAGTGTGATATTTTGCAGTAATTTATAAAATTTGGTTGAAATTTGTTGAATCTAAGTAAAGTATATTAAAAAAGTACTGATTATCAACCTGAAAAACCGTATATGTTAAAATATGTGAAAGTAAAGATAAAAACTACAGCTTACGCACCTCTGACCCTCTAGTAAAAGTAAATTCAACATAAAGTCTAACCGCGTCAACCTAGTTGTACCGGCTAGTCCTATTGAGTCTCTGCTTTATTTAACCAATATCTGGACAATACAGTACAAACTGGGATTGGAAAGGTTGACCCAGCTGGGAAATTTAAATGTACTACGGCTGCCCGTGAGCTAAACAACTTTTTAAAGAACGTTCTGAATCTGATAAAAATATATTGATACACTAACCTAAGGCATGTACTAATGATTCCACTTCCTGTACGCAGTTTCTTCGCAATTTTCTCAAACTGAATCTTTACCTAGAAAATATTTTACCAAAATTTTAAAATGTTTAAACTGATATTCATTGCTTTCAATTTATTGTGTCAATGTTGAGGGATATTTGGTAAACTATTTAATTTTGTTATAGTTTAAGATATTGTACACCTATTTAAAAAAAAAAAAAATTTGTTAGAGCGTCCGGACTCAGGAACATCTTTCAGAGGTAAGATAGACCTAGTATTTTTCTCCCAGACAAAAATTAGTGTTTTATAAGAAATATAATTTTGAAATAAGTAAATCTTTTAAACCCATTTTGTATGGACTGCTTTTTAATCATAAAGATTAAAAAAGTTTAAAACAAAAGATCTAAAAAAATTGTTTTTATAGATGAAGGATCAGTTTTTATACTGAAAAATTAGGTTTGAATACTACAGGATCAGCCTTGTGTACTAAAAAATCACTTTTGTATACTAAATACTCAGTTTGTGTACACTAAGGTACATTTTTTTTACGTTAGAATCATCTGTGTGTGCTGAAGAATCAGTTTTACCAACTGTAGTCTGTTGGATAAGTTTTGTGTACTCGAAGTTCAGTTGTTTGGCAGTTGTGTGTACAATTAGGAAAACAAACAGACAGAGCCCGAAATATAAAAGAGTATTGTTGAATGAAACTCCGGAGTTTCCATTTCGGGGTCTAAACATTTAAGTAGATTTGTATTTAAGATATTCGAAAAATGGAGAATATAAAGATACTAAATAATATAATATTTCATAACAAAAATATTGATATCTACAAACTGCCTGACCCCATTCGTGAAACCCGGGTTTCAAAACTGGTTTTCAGAACGATACCCTGTCTTAAGTTTTGGGCTCTGTCATACTACACATATACGTGCATGTATTTTTTCACCTTCTCCACGTCTGGTAGAGGGTATAGATCAGCGGATTCTAGAGTATAGATTGTACATATACCTCTCCTCGTCTGGTTGAGGATAGATCAGCTGATTCTAGAGGTAGATTTTATATATACCTTCTCCTCGTCTGGTAGAGGAGATAGATCAGCTGATTCTAGAGGTAGATTGTATATATATACCTTCTCCTCGTCTGATAGAGGGGATAGATCAGCTAATTATAGAGGTAGATTGTATATATACCTTCTCCTCGTCAGGTAGAGGGGATAGATCAGCTGATTCTAGAGGTAGATTGTATCCTAGCCGCAGTATTCCCCACATCCAGTAGAAACTTAACCTTTTCACAACCAAAGATATTTAGTTTTTTCTTAATCAAATTATTATATTTTGATCAATCAATTCCAGAGCCCACGAGGATTGACTAGCACTTAAATACATGGTGTTCATCCTAAGGAACTGAACAGTTCAAATTCTTATTTTCTTATACAGGGTGTCCCAATAAACATGGGAATTCAGTGACGAATTCGATATCGTCTTTTTAAATAATTCTTTGATTTAGTATAGTGATACCTACTGAGAAAGCTGTAATCTGTAAGAGTTTCGTCTGCTATGTTCAGATTTTGTTTGTTTGTGTTTTGACTGCATACCTATACTTAGTAAAACAAGAAAATCACAGTATACAATAGAGTAAACTTGTCCGTCTTCACTGTTCATCTTGCGGAGACGTTATAGACACATCTTTACAGTCTTTTACTCTTTTCATAAAATAAACGCTAGCAGACATAATAATATTATGGCTTTTTAAATTGGGTATTACAATGCTAATTCATAACAAAGACGATATCGAGTTCGTCACTGAATTCCCATGTTTTTGGGACACCCTGTATGTGAAGATAAACCTTTCAATTTTGGTCCCAATATGACAAGAATTATTTAATTATTGTCAATTATTGTTAATGGTGTGACTTTTTATATTTCAAACATTAACTATTTCATCCAATGGAATTCATAGTTTAAAATGTGAAAGGTATTCAACATCCGCTGGAAAGATATGGCGAGTAGAAAATTAGACTTTGTAGCAAGTAATCAGAATAAAAAGTTAAGTTTTGAGACCTAAATCAAATTTGTGTTTTGATACTGAATTATATAAGAATTTATTGAACCCATAAGATGAAAATCTGTGCTCGGGTGCTTAGGTCATAACTTCTAAATCAATCATTTCTCAAACATTATAAAACTTTTTACAAATCAAATCAAACTTAAGTATTTAATCAAACATTGAATAATTGCCTTAAATAGTCTTACAATGGTTTTGAATATATATTATTAGGAGTGTTAGAGGTTTAATAAATGTAAAGATGAATGACGTGTTACAATAGAATAATATCATCATGTTCTTGTTTCTAAAATAAATTATAAGAAGAATTGATAATGTTTTTACTCACTTTGAAACTATGTTTGCTCGGGAGAATGAGTATGCATATTTCTTGCAACCCGTCTTCCAATCCTAGATAAATAATGAATAATGTATCTCTAGGTGAAATTGAAAAACAATTTTTTTTTCCTTAGATCTGGGACCAAGATGAATTCATTTCTTCTGTTTAAATCTGGTAAAAACAAGAACTGATCACTCACTACAAAATTCTAAACCCAATATCTATGCAACCTGAGGTCGAATTTAAAGAATTTGAGCCGCGGCTTAAATTTAAGCCTCGGCTCAAATATGGCTGGTTCCGCTTAAAATCGTAATCAATGATTCAAGATTTAAGCCGGCGCTCAATTGAAACTGGTTTTTGGGGGGTTTAAGACGAGGCTTAAATTTATTAAATTCGGACTCTGAAGCTTTAAACCTTTGATATTTCAGACTTTTACCAATTTATTCAGCATAATTCAGGTTGCAAAGTGCTATGAAATTGAAAATTAAAGCCGCGAAATCCGTTCCATTTTATAAAACAACAATAACAAAATTGTTCATACCTTTCTAGTTTTGAAACTTAGTATTTGTAAGGCGAGTATACTCAGTATAGAACAACCTAAGCATATTACAAATAAAACAAATAAACAAAGAGCATTTATTCAGAAGCAGGATTGACGAAATCTGATAACTTTTTTCACGTAGTGCTTGAGACATTGTGATATTTATTGCATTATGATAGGGTAAAAACTAAGCTTCTGAGAGAAAATAGATGAAGTGTTTTGTTTTTTTAAACATCCTCTATTTGTAAGGTTTGAAGGGTTTGAAGGCCAATTTTGTGAATCTGTATTGGTACCCTAAATACCATGAATTTAAAAAAGCTCATAACCAATTCACGACTCTTACTCCTTCAAATCAATAATATGTTTGATTCTGTTAATTTACTCCATTGTTTCTGTATCTTAAATCCACAGTCACTTTTATTGACAAACCTTGATCAATTTTCAAAGAGAAAAAAATGGATATGGAACTAAACAAGTATTGGTACCGTTATGAATCCTACATATAAATGGAGGATCTGTTTACCCTTTTGATCCCTTAGAGGATTTCTAATTTGCGATTCTTGAAACTTTAAACGAATCTGTGGTTTTAGATTGAGTAAGATAATTAAATTTCCCCCGAATGTTGCATATTTCATCAAAATCCATCAAATCGAATTATGCAGAATGTAATTTCTCAGATTAGTTTCAAGGTTTGTAATCAATGTGTTACATAAAACAATGTCATGCAATAGTTTTATTTATGAAAATATTTCGCTAAGCTTTTAAACTTAAAATAAAAAACAAAATTAGAGTCTAAAAAGGATTATATTTGAAATCTAATAAAATACAATAATTTTTGAATTGTCTAAATGATATTCAAACTAATGATCAAAACCTTCTGGTATTTTCGTCGCGAAGTTTTCAAACATTTTAATAAGGCTCAGATTGTTTTCAAAAGAATGTTTTATTAAGCTAATTTTGTTGGAAAACAAACTAAATATAAAATTATAAAATCTAAAACTTTAATTTAATTCTTGTTGATCTTAAATGCAAGTCAGTGTTAAGAATTATTGTCGCAGAAAGGAACTTTCAAATAGGGCTGGGCATGTTCAGACTTTTTTCAAGCCCTTCGTTAACGGTCAATTAAAGTCGTTTTTGGTAGCAGTTCCAACTTAAGCTAAGAACTGAACATTCCGTTCGTTAACGGTATATTTCGCTCTCTCTCAAAGTTTCTGTTCGTTAACGGTATATTTCACTCTCTCTCTCAAAGTTTCTGTTCGTTAACGGTATATTTCGCTCTCTCTCAAAGTTTCTGTTTTAAAAATTTAAAAATTAGAAGATTAATTGTATATATCATGATCAAAACAAATTTTTTAAACTTTTAACGAAAAATAAAAAACCTAAATTTTTTCATTCTCATTAAATATAAAATGTTTTGTACATCACCTAGAAGTAAAGAGATGAGCAGAGTTAAACTATATTTAACATGAGTGAAGTCTAATCCAGCAGATCTGTACTGGTAGAGATTATACACGCTACACGCTAAACTGTAAACCTACAATGATACAACTATAGTTTAATAAATATTGTACTGGTAAAGATTATACACGCTACACAATAAACTGTAAACCTACAATGATTTACATATATGTATATTACGTAATACAGCGTTGTATGGAATGGATACATTATACAGATATAGATAATTACAATCATTTTAATAATTAGAAATAATATATTTTTTCTTTTAACGTATACAATAATACGATACTATAGTTCTCCTTAAATCTATTTAATTGAAATGTATTGTTATCATAAATGCGTTGTTATCATTATTGAAATTAGGTGGAAAAAATAATCAGAACAGCCAAGAGCTATTTTCCACTTAATTGCTTAATACTTGTACCGTTAATATAATCATCAATTTGTAATTGTAAACTCGTTCTGTACACAGATACATGTATTTTAGCCAGAAACTTTATCTACTATCCCCTCTCATATTAATTCATTTCGGTTTTTGAAAAAATTTAATTACCTGGAAAGCTACCAGAAGTAGAAGAGCAGCTACATTTCTGGCAGAAAGACAGCTATAAAGATAAAGTAACGAAGCTGTCCTAAAATGCATCAATCTTTAATCAGTTTCCTTGGCCGTTAAAGGGACTGTAAATATAATTTTCAAATAACCCTTCATGGAAAAATGCTAATGTCTGCGTTGCAACGGCATCCTTCTCTCATTAATATTTTATAATAAATCAGTGTTTATAATTCTCAAAACTGATTATTTTCAATTGGGATTTCCACACAAAAGTAACTTGTGCAATTCTATTGCAGGAACATGTGTAGGTTTCATGAGAATCAAACTCTTTTAAGCCTAGAAAAACGATAATATCTTCCACAGTTTCAATCAGATAAGGCTTCAAGGGCACCGTTGTGAATCGGGCATTTGCATCCTTGCTTGAAGGATCACTTGAAATTTCGCCTTCTGTCTTTTAAAATCATGTTTTAGAAAGTTGAAATCATCTCTGACTGTAAACGTATATATCAATATTTACACTTACATTGATGTGAGAGTAAGGATGGGTCCAATGAGAGCTACAGGATAGGCTTGTTCTCCGAGTCTGTTTAGAACTAGCCCAACCTCGAGACTCTAGATACAGGAATACGGAATAATAATAGTTTTCTTTCTTAAATTGTTTTTCAATGATTTGATTACTTGCCTTCTTCTATTCCTTTTATATTTTAATTCTGATTTCATATTCCATAAATATTTTAAACTTTGAAAGCTGATCACAATAAACTAAACTCTTAGTTCATGTTTAATTTTTGTCCATCATCATATATTCACAAAAAAATTATAGCCTAATCGGTCCAACCGTTTGGCTGGCTATACGCAACATATATATATATATATACGAATGTCTTGTTTTATTGCATAGATTGATGCAAAAGTTTTATAGGGCGTCTGAGGAGTAAATTTTTTATGTTAACATGAAGTGCTTAATTTTGATGCATTTTAAGATATGAGATTTTATCTGAAACCAGTAGGATTTAAACCATGTTAACAATTTGTAAAGTTTGAATTAAGATTCTGAAAACTTATTCAAATTTCACAAACTCAATATTTTTCACTTATTTTACAAAACTAATTCAAGAGGAATCATACTCCTTCTTTTATCTCTTTAAAAAGAAATAATATATCAATACGGCCCCCCTCCATCCCAAAAAAACCTTTAACTGTCGACTCCCGGGACTACACAGAGGGGGAACCGGGACACGTGCCCCAACCTATGTGATCAAATTTAAGGTAAAACAGTGGTTCTTTTGTTGGGAAAAGGGCTTTCCTCCCTTTATTCCCTTTATCGGTCTTGGGGTCATATTTAGCATTACGAGGAGTTTACCTCGCACTTAGGGCTGCACTCTCAAGCAACCCGACTCTCGGAAGAGGTCAGCAGACTTAATGAAGGGATCTAGTTTGAAAGCAACCTCGTTATCTTTGTCCCCACATAAACAGCCTCAAAACCCTTTAGCGTATTCGATCCATCTGGGAAGAGCGAAGTTTGTGGCTTCAGCCATATTGAAACCGTGGTTGAACCAGCTGTGGTAGGCATGAGGGAACACTATGATCATATCCCACTCCTCCTGTACAACCTTGACCACCTAGAAACAAATATTTAGACGAAGCCTGAAAGGAACTGTAAGCGTAAATTCATGTGACCCTCAATGCAAAGATTGCAATCTCCAATTCACAATGGTACCCTTAATACTTAAAAGCTTTGACTGATCAAGTATGAACTAGATATTAATGTTTTCTTTGATTTAACTGTTTATTTTAATTTTTGGGTTATCTGCTAGTAACTTAAGCATTTACACATTGGATAAACTCACAGAAATAAACATTTCTTCAAACGACGTGATCTTCCACATTTTTAATCAGACAAAGGTTTCAAGGGTACCGTTGAGAATTGGGCATTGGCATCTTTGCATGGAGGCTCACGTGAAATTACAATTTAATACTAGACACTGGGGCTCCATCAGCTGGCAAAAGTGATGAAGACTTATGCAGACACACTTTTTTAGACGCACTAGGTTGTATATTTTCACGATAAGTGCAATTGAACCCAAATTAAAATTCTAATTTCAACATTTCCTTGCATTGAATTTGTTCATAAAATTTCCTTACCCTGACGCCGTATTCTTCCAATAGTTCAGGAGCCAGCATTACAGCTTTATGTCGGAAAAGATTAGGACACGCCTTAGCCATCCTTGGGAACAGTTTGTTGCAGCAGTTTCAAGTTTATACGGTTACTGAGGGGGGTGCTCCTAACCAGGTTTTAGGAGCACCATAGTGAAAGAAGTTAACTCCGTATAGATCCATATCTTCAACATGCCGACTAAAGGTGGCACGCCACATCCCAAAGTAAACATATGGCATGTTGACACCTATCATCAATAAATTGCATATAAAAATACTTTACCAATTTTTTAGACAAGCATTGCAACTGTTTACACAAATTATCATAAAACAACGTTTTAAATATCAAAATATTATTTTCTTTAAAATCCAATCTTACAGTAAAACATCAACAAAAAATGCAAAACTTTCTTTCATGATTTATGCAATATGCTTTCTTTTGTCAAAGGCAATTCAGATAGAAATTTTTTTATTTCCCTTACAATCTATTCCAAAGCTTTGAATTAAGACAAAAATCCTAGGAAAATGATTCATACATTATTTACAGATATTTTGTGATTAGAGTTAAAGACTAGAAACCATTAGTAGATGAAATATTTAAAATTTTGCTTTCATGAATAGCCATGAATTATTTTTATTACAAGGAAAATGGCATCAAAAAGAAAAATTCCTATAAAGGCTCAAGAAAAACGCTTCAAGCTAAAAACTTGACGTTCAAACTATATCTTTAGGAATACCCAGGTATATACAGAGGGGGTGGCAGTAGTCCTATTGCCCCCCTCCCCCACTCGGGAATTATGGGCAAAGGTTAAAGTCAGGTATGGTGCGTAAAAAATGATCTTGCCCCCATCTTCTAAAGGGTTTTTTCCCCAATAAAAAGTAGTTCAAAATTTTCTTGACCCTTCATGCTATTTACCTTAATATTTTACCAAAGCATTTCCTTTATCTAAAAGCTCACCAACCCTTACTTGATAAACAACTGAATAAAATTTGAAATCTTTTTCCCCACATGCAACGCCAGGCCTATCAGTTAGTTTTTCATTGAAAAAAAAAAATCAAATAAATTCTTAACAAGGCTTATGCTGAAATGAGGTTGTCAGAGAATTGATTTAGAGAAAATGAAGAAAACTCAAAAGGTTTTCTAGCACAAATGTTTAAAGTACACATGCAGTATGTAAACAGTACAACAAAATGGCAGTTTTACACTTTTTATGTGTTAATTCCTCTCTATACTAATCTATTCTCTTTGCATATTATGCAAATGTATCATAAATTTCAACTGTTGCAACCTATCATAATCAAATATCCTATGAAAAATGTTGAATATTTCAAGACGAACTGGAAGTGCAAGTATAATCTTTCATCATGAAGTATCTTTGTAAAAAGACAATAAATCAAATATAATAGAAATGTTCTTGCCTGGGATTTATTCTTCCATTTAGGACGGCCTTTGGTCCAGTCCCAACAGTTCCAACCGTCACACCCGGTGGAGATACGCCCGCGAGCCAGGCAGACTCCCTGCCACCAGTCATTGCTGATCAAGCGACAAGGGCTGCCCAACTCATAGGTTGGATCCACCAGGTAAACTTTGAGGAAGGCTGAGTTTACTTCCACACAGTTTCACGTACTCTTAACTCTCTTCAAAGTTCTTTTCAAGTTTCCATCACTGTACTTATTTGCTATCGGTCTTGGGGGCATATTTAGCCTTAGTAGGAGTTTACCTCACACTTAGGGCTGCACTCTCAAGCAACCCGACTATCAGAAGAGGTCAGCAGGACCAGACAACCGCCTTACGGGCCTATCACCCTCTATGGGCTGTGGCCACTGTCAAGTTGGACTTTGACAGGCTGTCCAAGTCCTGGAAGACCCTTCCAAACACTACATTCAGCAAGGCCCATGAAGACCTGCAGTTCAGCGATGGGCTTTTCCCGTTTCATTCGCCATTACTAAGGGAATCACAGTTGTTTTCTTTTCCTCCGCTTATTCATATGCTTAAATTCAGTGGGTAGTCCCCCCTGATTTCAGGTCGAAGTTAAATTGGTTTGACGTCGCTTGGGGATGAAAGTAGCATTCAGCTCCCCACACATCAGTACCTCGCAGGGGCTCTGAACACACCAACCTGGGTTTATCAACACCAAGAGTTGGATGCAGTCCTACGCTGCAAGGTACATCTTGATCCGACTGCAGCAGCCAGGGCTGCAGACCGGACAATGCGGGGTTCCAACTAGTGAAACCCCGATGGATGTTGTGTAACCGACCCTGAAACAAGGGTAGGCCTGTGACGAGCACAGGCCCGCAATATGCGTTCAAAGTGTCGATGTTCATGTGTCCTGCAGTTCACATTATGTCACGGATTTAGCTCCGTTCTTCATCGACCCCCAAGCCAACTGATCCACTGCATGGAAGTGTATAAGGTACGACGGAGTGTTTAGCTCCGAAGGTATAAAGGGTTGAACCGTTTCACGTGTACTCGAGCCCGGGTGAGGGGACACACACAAACCCTGCTGGACTGGCGAGAACTCTTTGAAAACCCGTTGCAGGGTGCCGGTCGCGAGCAGAGCAGCCAAAGCTACGACCCTGGGACCAGAAGAGGTCCACCCCGGGAGTCAGAGGCTTGCAGCCCAGGACAGACAAGTCCTGGGCCCTAGGAGAGCGGGGTTGACTGCCTAGCCCAGGGCACCATGGCAACCTTGATTTCAACGAAACACCCGTTCCTACCGGACTTAGTTTGCCAAAGCATTCGGTCTGCGCCAGAGGAACGGAACCAAACCTTTAATGATCCTTCCGCAAGTTCACCTACGGAAACCTTGTTACGACTTTTACTTCCTCTAAGTGCTACAGTTTGGACACAAACACACTGTGAGACTATAAATGTCAGAGTTTTTACTTGAGGACTGATACAGATATTCTGTTAATTAAACCAACATATAGCTACATATAGACAGATACGGCGATACTAGAGATATAACTGACAATTGATTGGACAGACCTACAGCCCATGAACACTGGGAAACAGAGGCGTACACAGGGAGGGGGCTACGGGGGCTCATTCCCCCTTTGGATCAATAAAATCTATGGTTTTCAGAGGATGGTTTTGTATGAATAGGTTTGGTTTGGTATGCATAGATTTGTTTTGGTATCAAAAGGTTTGGTTTGTTATGAATAGGCTGGGTTTGGTATAAATAGGTTTGGTATGGTATGAATAAGTTTGGTTTGGTTATGAATAGGTTTGTTTCGGTATTAATAGGTTTGGTTTGGTATGAATAGGTTTGGTGTGGTATGAATACGGTTTGGTTTGGTATTTATATGTTTGGTATATGCATAAGTTAGGTTTGGTTTGGTATGAATAAGTTTAGTTTGCTTTGATATTAATATGTTTGATTTAACTTAAAAAGGTTTGGTTTGGTTGGGTATACATAGGTTTGGTTTGGTTTAACAGAAATATATCCCT